AGGAGAAAAATGATCACTTTTACTTCTAGCCTTTGCTTGTGAGAGAGCTCTATTTTAGTAGTAGTTTTGTTTGTAAACACTTGGACAGATTGTACCTCAGGCAATTAAACCCACTGTTTCCCTGTAGCTGTCAATATCTTGATGTTATACTTGGCATAAAATCAGCACATCTGTGCACAAAGCTGAGCAAGACATCATTGCTTTTGAACTTTGAGATCGGAGCGACACAAACTTTACAAACCTGCCTGAGACCCATTTTGTAGTTGAAACTCAAACTGTAGAATTCCAACACTGTCAGCCTGAGTGCAAACTTGGCTTAGGAAGGGTCTGAATGGAATTAAAATTACGACCTTAAAGACTAAAACTGACTGTGTAGAAACACTATAATGATTCTGTATTGGAGTCCTTAAGCAATCCCATAACAATGATATGGTCTTCAGCATTCTTCCTGTCCAGTGCCTCAGATTATGGAGGCGTGAGCATATCATCAGAAGTTAAATATTCCTTGCTGTCACAAAAAACTAGCAGACAACAAAACTCCAGCAGCATAATACTAGCAAACAACAGACAAAAGTTTGTCTGAGCCTTTTATTTTTAAAGTGAACTTATATTGTGCGCACCATTGTTGAAACAATTATTGTTTTGTTATAGAATGAAAATTACTGTCATGTTTTTTATAGAATGATTGTATCACTGTTAGCAGGATGAATACAAATTGTAGTTTGAACATTTGACTTTAAATTGAGTTTAGCTCACTTTTTAATGTCTTCTAGATTTCACTCCTTGCAGTGCATAATTGTTTTGTTTGTACTGTACTAATAATTTTAAAACTTAATAGAATTTAAGATTTTACTTAAGGGTATCTTTCTTACTTGTTTTCCTATTAAAATGTCTCTCTCTGAAATGGTCTATGTTATACACTACCAGGATTTTGAGAAATACTGTCTCAAAATAACAAAATAGCTTGTATTTTGCAGGCATCTTTTAATGTAAAATGTAAGCAATTCATATATCCAATAAGAAAGCTAGATTGAGGTGTCCAGAAACGGACTGTCCCCAGCAGATGTCTGAGTTCTGAAGTCACTAAAATAAGATCCCTGTAGAATGGGGGATTAATATCTGTGGAGATGTCAGCAAGTACACACAGCTTTTTCTGTAGTCCACAACCTGCAAGTGAAGGGAAGGGGGTAAATGGTCCTTATTGAATCTAGTCAGTCTTGCCAAGAAATAAAAAAGGTAAAGGTAGTAGAATCTGCATGTAAGCATTTTAATTGCTCCTTCGCATGCTTCATGCTTTTATGGCAAATGAATAATGCGCTATTTTGAAGAAATTGGTTTTGAGTCATTTTAATCAGTTTCTGTAATGGGCATTACAGATGTCAGATGCCACTGAGCTTTCTAGTTGACACTTAAAAACCAAAAGGACAACAGCTCTGAGACTGAGAAATGTGCTACTTTGTCCGAGTAGCAAAAACATTATAGTGAAACTTCTCCACACAGGGGGACGCATAGGAGAAAAAAGAAACCCTTCTCTGCAGCTGTCTCAAAGTCTTGAATTGAGTTGTGTCAATTATTAATTTATTTTATTCACAAAAAAGTTTAGGTTGGAGAGGAATTTTGACATCTAGTCCAAACCAATGCTTAAATTGGCCTCAATTAGAGCAAACTTGCTCGTGGCCTTGTCTGGTTGAGCTTTGAAAATTCTCAAGGACGGGGCTTTCATGACCTTTCTCAGTGACTTGTTCCAGTTCTGAATTATCCTTCTGGTGGGAAAAAAAACTTTCTTTTTTTTTTAATAACAATTTCCACTATGGCAATTTATGACCATTATCCCTCCTTTCTGTATCACCATGAGAAGAGTCTGATTCTTTTCTCTATATCATCCCTTTGGGTAGTTGAAGACCACAAAAAGATTCCTCCTCAGTCTTCTCCTTTTAAAGCAAAACAAACCCAGTTCTCTGAGTATCTGTAGTGTGCTCTGGGCCCCTAATCTTCTCAATACCCTTTTCTGGTCTCACTGAAGTAAATCAGTGTCTTTCTTGACTTGGAAGCCCAAAATTGCACACAGTATTCCAAATGCAGTCTCACAGGAGGGCTTTGCCTGCTGGCTCTGCTGTTAAACATACAGCTCAGTACGCAGTTGTTGAGGCGGTTCTTACTGCCTTGTACTGAAGATGGTATCCATCAAGATTCCCAGGTCCTTACTTGCAAAGCTTCTTTGCAAACAGTCAGCACTCAACTTCTACTGCTTTACAGAGTTGATTTATCTCATGCAGGACTTTATATTTGCTTTTGTCCTTTTCTTCTGTCATAGTCTAGTGGCTATTTCATTATGTGAGAGAATTGCACTGGAAAACATGGCTATTAAAGTTACTTTATATTTTTATACACTAATAAGGCAGTTATATGTTCACCTTTTTCTATATATTCAGGTCTGATGGGATAAGACAAAGTAAAAATCTGCTATGTTTCAAAGGTAATATAGTATAATGCTTGAGCTTAGTATTCTATAATCCCTTCTGAAAATAATCTGATATATCAAAGTATGTTCCATAAATTTCAGCTATTTTCTTGGATTTCACTGTATATAAAATGGGATTGTAGACATTAATTTTATTTCAGTTCCTTTTTAGGCATGCCTCTGCTTTAGTCTGCACATTTAAAATGCAAAGTCAAAATGGTAAAAAGCTGTGTGGTGGTTTATTTGCTTTTTCTGCACACCAGAATAACTGCCACCTTGAGAGCCTTCAAAACAAATTGAAGGAATGGAAATAATACACTGTAAAGTGATACCTTTATTTGCATCCCCAAGCCATTTTTTTGCCCCTAGTGCTATACTGATCCTGGCTAGCAATACTGTAGCTTGAAGTTTTATAGTGTTTATGGAGAAGCAAAGCTTGCACGTGATAGAAAAGATAACTGTTTCTTCAGAAGCAACAAAAAGAAAAATGCTAAGCAACTGTCCTCAATATTCAGAGTTTTTATCAGAGTTAGGTTGATGGTTGGACTTGATGATCTTAAAGGTCCCTTCCAACCTAGACAATTCTATGGTTTCGTTAAAACTGTTATATTTTGGACTTTTCAGCATTGTAGTGCAATACTATAGTCACTTGGATGTAATAATCCAACTAGCACTTATCTCTGGTCAGGTCTTTCTCTCTTTGCCCTTGATGTGTTAAAAAAATTCTTGGCTAGCTTAAAAATTGTTAGTCAAGTCTTGGCCTTTGTGGAACAATAACAAGACCAAAAGTACACTTCTGTGCACTGTCTGTAGACGCTGCAGGTCCCAATGCAGCAGGACATTCCTATCTGCTTTAAAAGCAGCTTTTGTTCTAGCTAGATGTTTGAGGTGGGCCTATCACACTAGTTTGTTTACATTGCACAACATCAGTTGTATCTGCCATCTAAGGCTGCAGTGAATAGGAGTTTGATTTCCAAATGCTTAATATTTTTCAAGGACCTGCTTATCAAAACAGGAAACAAAAATCCCAGGAAAACAAAGAAGAAACCAGCCAATCCACAAGTCTCAGGGGCTATATTCAAACGGAATATAATCTAGCTTCAGCCCCATGGGAGTTGCTAGCTGACAAAACCCTAGGCTTTTTTGTAGGTTGTACAAAAATAAGTACTGCCCATGATAAAATGGGGAAAAGGGTGGGATAATTACAGTGTGCCTTTTAAAAACAGCAAACAGTGAAGCCAAACATCTTTCAAGTTCATTGAAATATGGTTTTGTTTCAAATCTGATTTTCAGAACCCCTAAGTACTTTGTACAGCATGTGCTTGAAATGATGAATTAAAGACTATTGACAATAGGCTGCTTTTCTAGCTTTCAGCCCATAGACCATTAAGAAAAACACTACAGGTCATATACAGCGGAATTCATTCCACCCTAATGGCTGTTTACTACTGTGTAATTAGAGAAGATGGAAGCAGAGCTTGATTTTCTATTTTTTATTTTTTCAAACTTTAAAGGCCTCTTCCAAAAAATCTGAAAATTGTTGTATTTCTAAATTGGACTAAATTACTGTGATCAACCTCACTTTTTAATCTCTTATCCTCCTGGGAGGATGAGGGAGTGGCAGAAATGACATCTTGTGGTTTAGTTTTTTCATTTAAAGCATTTTTTAGGCAATTATACATGTGTAACATACACACAACGATGGAAGTTTCTACCAACTTTGTTAGACTATTAGAATTATAGATGGCCTTTCTGTTATGAGGTACATCTGTCCTGCTTCCAGATTGTCTTGATGCCATAGTTAAAGGGGAGGAGTATGTACTCTGAGATTTTAAGGTTGAAATACCAGTATTTGTTTAAAGTGCCACAAGTTCAGTAGGAGACCATTCTACATTTTATGCTTTATGCATTCTTTTGTTTGATGTTCTCCAGTTTGTCCAACACACTCGGGTCTCACTGAAGTCAATGAAAAGCATTAACGAGGGGTGTCATGCACGTAAGAATAAGTTTGGAGGCAGTAGGTCATGTTCAGTGAGTCCAGGAAGGAGCCTTTGAGCATAAAGCTAAAAAGCCTCTCCCATTGGACAGGAGGGATATAGAAACTGCTTGTGTTACTCATGCTATTAAACTACTTAAATCATCCGTAGTGGTCTTCTGGGCCTCAGAGCAATTTAAAAAAAAAAAAAAAGCCCAAAATGAAATAAGAAAGTATTGAAGTATTGTGCTTTATCCTCACAATGCCTCTCTGCTTTTCTTTCCCTCACATCCAGTCTGTGTCGTTAAGCTTTACTGAGAGTGTTTTTATTGTCTGGAATCACTTCATTGTTACCCACATGTGCTGAGATTTTTGTTGTAAAGCAATAATACTCAAGCAATATAACTGTTTTATGCTAGTTTGCTTTTATATGCAAATCAGATATAATACTACAACTATAATGCCCTTGTATAGTATCACGTTACTTTAGCCTTTGTTATGATTTCAGAAATCAGTTAAATAATATGCTTTTAACATTTTTTCTTCCTTTTCTTTTCCTAATAGGTAACACCAGCCTTCAGACCAAAACAGGGAGTATCACAGTAGGTAGGTTCTGCCACCTCTTTGAGAGATCTCTTATTCGAACTCTTCCCTTCTCCTTTCTAAAAGCTAAATATTCCTAGGGAAAGTAAAAAGCAGGTGATTCCTCACGGATGTTTTTGCCCTCTTTTCTTTTTTAGGCATAGCACTGGTAGCTCTGTAGCTAAAGGAGATCCTTTCCAAACGTGACTGTCAACCCTTTGCAGCTGGGCAAGGCACAATGCTTTTGGTACCACGATACCCGCTGGGCTTTGCACAACTTACACTGAGTCTAGGTGTCATCCTTTACATTAAGTTGTGATAAAAGGACATGAGAAAACACTAAGCATACATCAAATGCAATAACTTTGCCTTTAACCTAGTTCTCTATCTTACATTTGTCGATATCAATGATTAGCTATGTTGAATTTTTGTATCGCAAAGCATTAATCATTGATGTATTACGTATCTGGGGGGGAAAGGCTTCTGATAATTTAAGCAACACTTCTAAACTATTAAACTGATCATAATTTTCCCTTCAGAAATAAAAATGGCTCAAATTTTCTTTCTGGAACTTGAGCTTTTATGCAATGGGGTTACTCAGCGTTATCAGTTATAAAATGCAACTGATACAACATATATCATAGTACATCAAGGTAGAAGTGAGACACTCAAATTCTGGTTATTTCTATGACAGAAGATTGAAGTAACAGAATCATAGACAAGGCTCTGTCTCTTGAATGGATGTGGAAGGATTTTTCCCTTCTGTAAAACTTGGTTATAGCCCCAAATCTCAAAGACTTCTGCTGATGGTAGTAACCATAGCCACTCATTAAGCATTGTTCAGGGCCAATCTGTACTGTTACAGCTCTTCTTATGTTTCTAAGCAATCTATATTAACAGTCCTGGAAAATGAACGCAATACACATTCTTATGAGTTAGTCATTAAACCACAGGATTAAATTAAGCTTGCTAGTCTGTTTTTCTTTCTGTTAAATAAACTCATAGAGTATGAAGAGTGTTTAAATAAAGGGTTCTTAACACAGGAGGTAGGTTTTTCCATCAACAGATGATGATGATTTTCCTTAATTAACCAGGTTCAGCTTAAACATTAGGACACATCTTACAGTTGAATAAGCTTTATTTTTCAGATTTCCATACTGAAAGCAGTAGTTAGACTTAATCTCTTCCTGAAGAGCATTAAAAATCCTTGAGACTTTTATGGATTTTTCCAAAGGTAAAAGACTTTTAAAATCCAGTGGTTTAACTCCAAAAACTTGGGAAAGAAAATTTAAAGCTTTAAGTGAAAGGTTTTTCTGTATGAGAAATGTATGCCACAAGGTTGCTTGTTGGATTACCAGAGGCCTGATAGGGATTTGTCGATAGAAATAGGAAGAACAACTTGGATCTTCCAACTTCCTTGGCTGGGTTTTCATAGGGATGTAATTATTTCACTGGAGGCAGAATTTTATCGATTAACTGAAAAAATGCACTCACTTCTAGATATTGAGGATGTATCCTTCTGAGATTTTTTTTTTTACAAGTCAAACTTGAGTGCTGGTTTGTTTTTCAAAATATTTTGGGGAATGTACAGGTGACTGTATTAACAGTTTCTTATTCTTGCATAATTCTGCATTAAAACAGGAAACCAGTGCTGTTGTCTCTCACTCCTGTTCATTTTCTGCCTTTTTATATTTATAGAATAGTTTTATTTGTTGGGATTTGTTTTATTGTGGTATTACTTGTTTGTGTAAATCTTTTTTTATTTTCTGAAGACTCTATCCAAAATTCAGTCTCATTTTTAAGTGTCTGGCGTATGGCAGTGTTTCACATGACATTGTTAAAATATGAAAGTAGGAATTACTTGGTTTTTTATTTTTCTATATTGTGAGCTTTGTTAGTCACTGACAAATTGTTTTCCAGCCCTATACTAGAAGCTTCCTACTTCTAACAAATGTTCTATGGGTTTTCAATGACTCTTAATTTAAAACAACCAGACCTATTTTTACTTCTAGTTTAAGTTACTACTGAAAATAGTCATTAGAAATTTGAATTATCTTACAAAAAAAAAAGTAACAGAGTACTTTGTTTTTTAGAACCAGCTTAATCTTTTACATTTTTGTTTGGTAAATTCATAGGAAAACTCAGGTTGGAAGAGACTTCAGGAAGTTGCAGAATCATAGAATGGTTGAGGTTGGAAGGGGCTTCTGGAGGTCATCTTGTCCAGACCCTTGCTCAAGCACTCTCTAGTCTCCAACCTCCTGCTCAAAGCCATGCTAACTGTGAGGTTGCTCAGGGCTTTATCCTGTGGTCTTGAAAACCTCCAGAGATGCAGACTATATCTTTGTGCAAGCTGTGCTACTGCTTGACTGTCCTCAGGGCGAAAAAGATTTTACTTCTATACAGACTGAAACATTCTTCTTTCAGCTTATGTCTGTTGTCTCTCATCATATACCACTCTTGGAAGCCTGGCTTTGTCTTCTTGACCGCCTCCTTGCAGATACTAGGAGGCTGTTGTCATGTCCTGAAGCGGTCCATTCTCCAGGCTGACCTTGCCCCTCAGACTCTCCTGATGGGGAAGGTGCTCCATGCCCTGATCATCTTGGTGTTTCTCTGCTGAATTCCCTCCAGTGCATTGTTGTGTCCCTTCTCTTGGGAGCCCCAGTGCTGTGTTCCAGGTGTGGTCTAATGAGTGGTGAGTAGAGGGGGGGTAATCCCTTCCCTTGTACGCTGGCCATGTTCCAGTTAACACTGCCAAGGGTACTGTTGGGCTGCTTTTCTGCCAGGGCATACTGCTGGCTCACGTTCAGTCCTGCTAGAATTAGCTTATTTCTCAATGTTATTGGTATGGGCTCTGATTATATATTCTCTACTCAGCTGCCAAGCCAAATTTTCCCCTACCAGCTCAAAAAAAAAAAAAAATTTCCTTACTGGATTATTTATGTTTAACCTAATTATGTATTGAAGTAATGAATTTGCTGTGTTTAGTATAGTCAGAAATGATAAAGCTTGTAGTGGTGGTGTCATTTCAGAGGTGAAGAAACAACCTTAACCAACTTGTGTGGAGCAGGGACTTACTCTAGCAAGGAAAACTGTATATTGAGATCCAACATATTTAAAACCGCATAAATTATAGTGTGTTGTTGTCCGTTTGCCTTATTCCGCTAATTTTTTTCTTCAGTAACCCACACTAGACAACTTAAAGGCTTCAGTGATGTGAATGTGATTCTCACTGTCTTAAATCAACAGAAATATAATAATTAAGAACATTTCAACTTTCTCAAAAACATAAATTTGAGTATAGTCCTGACACGAAAGTGAACTGAGGTGTCTGAGGTGGTCCTTTGTGATGAGAGAGTGATGTAGCAAGTCAGTTCCCTGGTACTAAGACAGAACACCACAGTGGGGTTTTTTACAAAGGGAATCAATTATAGAAAACAATTAGGATATTTAAAACAGTTTTGGATAACTGAAAAATAAGACAATAAACAACTGTAGTGTATTTATAAGTAATACTGCATCTGTCAATTGTCTTAAGAATTCAATTTTTAATAGTGATCTATGGAATTGTTTAATTAAAAATCTCATTTCTGAATTCTGCTAAGGGATTTAATGCAGTTCATCAAGTACAGCTCTTAAGTACTTTTTTAAAAATAAAAAAAATAATCCATGCACACACTTATCTCTTAATAGTAGTTAGTTCTGTTGATCTAGTCTTTGCCATCTGCTTGAAGTATATTAATGTTCTGGCTCTTATTTTAATTGTCCTCCATCTTCCAACCTTGTATCTCAGAACTTTACCGTCTTCTGTGTTCTGCTGATGACAGACCCATAATTTTTCTTCCCCATCGCTTGCTTTCCCACCATCCTATACAAAGGGTGCTGTGCACAAAGCAGCAGATAGGACCCTGCCTGTTCTTAGCCCTTTGGGACCAGAGCCAGAATTCTTCTTTTGAGTTACAAAGGCTAATATAGCTGGTGTCTGTGGTGGGGAACTTATTTTTCATAAAGCTTAACAAAAACTGTGTCAAGGACATCTTGCTTCCTAGCTTTATTTTTTACTAGCTTTTATTTTTTCTGTACTAGTAAATTCTTAAATAGCTGAAGTTGCTCAAGAGTGACCATCTGTTCTCTTTCCAGTAGAACGATTCATCCTTGTATTTCCCTTTGTCAGGGAATTGTCAGTCCTTAGCAAACTCTGAATTCAAACTCTGTATTTTTTTCCTACCAGATTGTGTTACTTAACATAGGGTAATTTTTCATGTTGAAATATTGTTTATTTATATTTGGCCTTTTTTGTTACATAACCTCATCTTTGCTGTTTTTAACCTGTTTTCCATTTTTCCCCCCTTCTCATTTGTTTAGAGTTAGAAATGCAAAACTTAAATTCTATCTTTAATAGACACTGCAGAAGTGATTAACACATTTAAATTTCTTGGCATTCTTATCTGTATCTAAGCATTTGTATTTAATATCATATCCATAAAATTCTTACCATTAATCATATTCAGCTGTTTCCAAAGAAATCCATTTTAGCTGTGGGATAATAATCCCTTTCTATGTTCTTACACTTGTAGTAATACACTGATCTTCCACATCTGTGCTTGAGCTGACATCAGAAAAGTTCCAGATGAGTATATTTAGAGCAAAAAACTGTATGGCAAGCTTGAGGCATTAATGCTAGGCATCCCTGTTATTATTAATCAACTTCATTCTCTCATTAATATTTTTACATTTTAAAATGGGAAGTTTTGTTCAGGTTTCATTTTGTTCTGCTAGCTGTTCAGCTAGTTCTGAAAGTTTGACTGTTTCTTTTTCTGTGCACAGCCAGAACCTAAAGAAAACAGTCTCTATCAGTATTTCAAGATTTCTTTCCAATACTTTCATTTCTAGCAGTTTATCTAAAAAGATATTTCACTGACTGCCTTTTGCTCACATACCTGCTTCTCCAGAATTACTTCATAATTTCTTTGTCATTTTTATCAGCTGTAGGTCTGTTCAGTAGTTCAGCTGTTAGCTCTTTAGGACTTCCCTGTAATACTGTGGAAATTTGCAAGTAGTACATTGCAAGTAATTAAAGACTACCTATCATGTATACAATTAAGGCTTCTCAAAGGCTTTCTATTGTAAAAATGTTTCCTCGGAAAGTTTTGTTAACATAAATTTCAACTAATAAGCTATAGAAGAAAATGTAGGTGTTTTTATTCCAGGGCAAAGAACAAATGCTGCACTTCACTATTGCGCTTTAATCACAAACATTTGTTTAAAATTTGGGTGTAGCAAATCAGCCCTTACAAAGCCTGATAACACCATTCTTCGTGTTGTTACACAGACGTCACAATGCACAATTGCTTGTTGTTTGCGTGGTGTAGCTTTCCTGGGTGAAGTTCTCCCTGTGCAGAGTCTGAGCAAATGGAATCTTCTGGGGACTAAAACAGATCTTAAAGTTCTGATTTGGTGCTTGATCTTTGCACAAAGATGAATCCGTCCTTGTAGGAAGAGGGGAGTGTTGTTGGGGCCTCGTGGATGCTACAAGTCCAGCAACAGCTGCTGTGGCCTTGGGACCAGCGTGTGCTGTGGCTCTGGACGGGGGGGAGAAGTTTTGTTCAGAAACCTAGTTTTTTAAGAGAAGTCCACAGAAGGAGTGACAAAAGAAGTTCAAAGTACAAAGAAAGATTCCAGCCGATTTCTATTTAAAAAGAGCAAATGATACGCAAGTTCTTTTATTTTCTTTTTCTTCTGTTTTAGACTCATCAGATGGAAGTCTAAAAGCTTCTACGCATCATGGGACAATAGATGTTTATGTCAGTCAATTAAGAAAAGTGGATCTGAAATCCCAGAAAGGTTAGTAAACTAAAACAAATGTTTTTTGTGGCAGCTTATGATATAAAAGAAAAGGAGGTAAAAGGGTTTTTTTGTTTATCTGTCTGGAAAAAAGGAGTTTGTGATTGTTGGTTATCTTCATTCTTTTACCTCATGATTAGAAAAATGTGTATAAACATAATACAGTAAACTCAGTAAGGGGCAATGATACTTAAAATGAATTACAGAATTATTTTTTTTTCAATACTTTCATTTTCCTTGGCAATCCTGCCCGGCAGAATTCTGCAGAGTTGACTTGGATTACAGTCTTCACTTTGCCTCGAGTGCAGTTTACTCCATGGTCTGATATATGTATGGGCAGAGTGACAACCATCACGTTTACATTTCTTTTCTTTTTTCTGCCTTTTCCTGGTGAAATGTCCCATATTGAAATTGGAAGGCAGAAAAACAAAGATTGAGGGCCTTACCCTAACACTCTACCTTCTTTCTCCTGATTACTCACTAGAATTTAACTTCTTAATTAAAAACTCACTTCTGAAGATGGATTCCTAGATTTACAGTATCACATCTTCTGAATGGCAAATAACAAAGCCCTGAATACATCTTGTTAATCCTAGTTTTGCAAAAAACCCACTACAGCATTTCTATAGCTGACTTTTACCATCATGTCAGAGACTTCAGGTGGTTTAAATGACCATGGTATTTGGTACCCTTTCTCTTGTCTGTGAGACAGTGCCTGGGCCCTATTAAAAACTAGCAGTTACTCAGAAGGGGAACAATGAAAGAAATGCATTGAAATCACTGTGCCAATCTTTTGTGCGAGCTATTCTGGTCCCGTTGGTGCAAAGAAATTTATTTTTATATTAGACATATAGATATAGTATTTAATATTTTCTATATTATTTTTATATTATTTCCTAGATACCTTTTGAATCACTTAATACTAACTCACATCTCTTTGAATTAGTAGCAAAGAGGAATGTATTTCATAAAATCTAATTAATGTTATTTTCAAAACATTGCCTGACATCTCTTCTGGCAGCACAGTTTAGTGAAGGCAAAGTTGATGGAAGTTCTGTTTTCGTTTACCCTGTAAATTCAGAGTAACTGCTGACAGCTGCAGCGTAGAAAATGCCCCGTTCATGATAAATTAGCTGCATGTGTGTTGGATTTTATGAGTCACATTACTGAGCAATTCTCCAAGGGGGACCCAAAGATGAAGACCTTTTCCCTTTCTTATTCTAAGGCTTTTGTGTATCCAGCAACATTTAGGCTTAAATTATACTGGCAGTTATGTGTTTATCAGGACTGTCACAGGCAAGTGATTCTGCTGAATTTAAATTGCAAAGCTAGGGTTGGTTTCTGACTGGAACTTAGTTCTTATAACATCAGTTTCCTTATTGTGTCCTACTGCAGATTTTGGGGTGTACTTAAAGCAACTTTATCGTTTTCTAAAGTGAATGTTGGAATTGTGCAAAAACCAAGGAGCATGAAAACATAAAGAGTATTCTAAATTTTGGTGGGTTTTTGTTTTAATGTGTAGGGTGCAGCTTCCATTCATTGTGACTGAGTAATTCCAAATATGACTAACACGGGCAGGTTGGGGGCCCAGTGTCTGCCTCGGTCTGATGCATGGAAATGCATATTTAGGGGATGCAGAAGTCAGAATTTCTGTTTTTAATCTCAAGGGTAGAATTATTCAGACCACCGAAGCTGCAATTTTGCTAGTAGTTTACATTTTGGTGATACATAGTCTAAACTGGTTAGTCACTTCTGAGGCTGCATCTGTTGAGGGATGAGAACAGCTGGCCCTGTGCAGGAAAGCAGAGACAACAGGCAGCACTCACAGTGTGTGAGTGGCATCTCCTCGTTCCAGAGGAGCAGTTCTCTCATAATGTGCTGGGTTAATCATCAAATCTGATCCCCTGGCCTTGCTAATATGCAGGAGTGTAAATATGCAACAAGAAGATGAAACTGAAGTCATAATAGTTGTGAGATCTATCAGATGTGCTTCCCTTGATCATTCCTGTAATAACATCCTGTGCCAAGAGCTGTTGCCAGCAGTATATGTCCATGTTAATTTTCATCTCCGCTAAAGAAATACTGTTACACCACTTTCTACATGTGACGTACAGTATTCTGGTTATGATAAATGAAGATATCTTCAGTTGTCCTTTTAGAGAAAAAAAAAGTTACTGTGTGTGAAGGGTGTTTAAAAAAAAAAAACAACCAAACCCACCAAACAAATGATACCTTGATCCAAGTTAGCTAAATAATTGCCTGTGTCATGCTTTGATCTCAGTGTTAAACTAACTTTCTTTAATTTAAATTTATACCAGGTTCAATTACAGTCAAGGTACCTGCCTCTCTCAAAGCCTATTTACAGTTATCTGGAAGAAAAGTGGATGTGAGCTCAGAGATCAAGTTAAAAGAAACACAGAGTGCCTCCAAAGAGGATCATGTCACTCTAAGTGGTAAGGCTTACTCATCTTGGCTTCCAATAAACGTCTGTCTGGCCTTAGTCAATGGCATCTACGTTTCCTTGTGAGTTTATTGCTCTTGGCTGCTTCTTGTTTCATCTGTTTCAGGTTCAGATGTTTGCTTGTGCCATTGTACTCCCCATGTTACTAGATAACTTTTTTCATTTTGTTTGGTAAATGACTTGTGAATGCGAACAACTTCTTTAACAAAAATCTTAGAGCCAAATTCATTCTCAACAAATTCCTTGGAATAATGTTGGAGGTTATCCAGGGCTGAATTTCACCCATTGCATTGTTGGTTTAGGCAGTCACATGTAATAAATTGCTAGGGAATGTCTATTAAAAGTATAATGAAAAGTTTTCTCTATCTACTTCTGTTGGATGGGAGGGAGAAGTAAAAGGGACATGTGGCATATTTAAAAATGCACACTGTGAATGTTAAACAGGGCAGGATAGCCTAAGAAATGATGGGTGGGAGATAGCTAGGAGAAGAGTGGAAGAAGCTGGAGCAGGAGGAACAGAGTACATGGAAAGGTGCCTGCAATTACTGGAAGAATTCTTCTATTGCATTTAAAATTGAACTTGGGAATCCCAGGTCTTGGTGTTTCCTGCTTTAGCAATCAGTTGTACAGTTCATTGTCAGGGTGTGTATATCTCTCCTCCTCTCCAGACGTGTCTAGAACTTGTTGCTGTTACCAATTACTTGGTTTGCTCAAGAGAAAACACTAATGTAATGTGTCTGAAGGCTCCAGCTTTGTTTTTGAATGTGTTATGTCAGTATGACCTGATGGGATAGCAGATTGGGTGAGGCTTTGAATTTTTCTTTGGTTTTATACCTCAGAAAATGTGCACAAGACTTCTTTTCCTCCCCTGTGTAAGATGATCATCTCAAAGTCAGGAAATGTTAGAAGTGTATGTATGGAATTTTAATACCTAGCCTTCTTATACGAAATAGTAGTCTTGAAGAGTATGGGTGTATTTCTTCCTGTCCTGAACAGTAACTACCATTCAAATTTACTAGTGGTTCTTAAATACAATTTTTTAAAAAAACTATGGTTGGAAGTTCTCAGGCTAGAGCCCTGTGGAGGGGTCCCAGCTCCCAACAGAGCTCTGTGGAATGAATTGCCTCAGCAGTAAAACACCACTTCTCCCAGTGAATGAGGACCAGTAGCCAGTCAATGATCTTGTAACTCTGGCAACATTAAGATAAGAGTGGTGTCTCAAATATACCCAGCTGTGAATGGCTTCTCGACCCAGTCAGTGTTTATGTAGAACAGTCATTGCTGAAGCGGATGCAATTTTTCAACCCACCATCCTGTATGGAAATGGTCCTGGCAGTTGAGGCTGAAAGCAGCTCTAGTTAACCCCTCAAATAAACAAAATTCCAAAAGCATGGAGATCAGCAAGAATTATGCCGCGGCAACAGCGTTAGGCCACTGATTTCCAGTTTAAAGGGGTTATAGTATTGCATAAAAACACATTATTAAACATAGATCTAAATTGATCATAATACAGCTGAATGAAAAAAAGGCCCTGGAATGGATTTTCTGCAGGATACAATTCAGCTGAACGGGCGCTGGCCTGAACTAATGTATCTTCATCTGTCTCTGTACCTGGCATTCAGCTGCGCTGAGTGTTTGCTCACATAACGTAACCCATGATTTATAGCAGTGCTCTCCTCCTTTTTCTTCACTGGTCAGTAAGAAGCAACAAACCTGAAAAGAGATGAAATTGTGGGGTTTAACATCTGCTTTGCTGCTTTTCTTACCCTTTTGAAAACGGTGCCTCCCCTTTCTTTCCAAGGCCAGGCTGGATGGGGCCTTGAGCAGCCTGCTCTAGTGGGAGGTGTCCCTGCCCATGGCAGGGGGGTTGGAACTCGATGATCTTTGAGGTCCCTTCCAACCCAAACCATTCTATGATTCTTTGCCAAGTCAGTAACATTCCTTCGGGATGGCATGGGGGATGCATCCTGCTTCTCCTTCTCTTCACCTTATCCCGTTGGGACAGTGTATTCTTTCTGCAGGCCAGGCACTTGTCCCCTCATTCTCAACAATCTCTTCTTCTTAAAGTTGGTATTTGAGAATTTTCTTGGACAAGCAGATTCTGAAATAATTTAATATCATTTAATACTGTTTCTATGTCATAGAAACATTATCCATTCTTTGTGTTTTAGGTACAGAGTCTGTAGCTGTCCTCTTTCTGCCAATAAAGCAATATAAAATGGAGAGAGAAGAGGGCTTTTGCCAAGTGGAAAAAAATGTCTGTATCACAAGAGCATGGCAGTTTAGATTTTTATGCTTCTGAGCTCAAAGGTTACTTTAAAAATAGATGAATTTTCAGAAACTGGCTGGTTCTCATGTGGATAATGCAGGAACTGGCTGCTTTCAGGGAGCTTGCCTCTGGGAATATTGTGAGAGATGTCAGAGCAGAGGCTCTCCAGTGGGAAGACAGGGTTGAGTTCTGTGACTTGGATCAACATGCACCTCGTCTGTCACCTGCTCAAGGAAAGCCTTCCCTACCCCTGTTCTGGTGGTCGTGGTGTCTGCCATCCCCTGCTCCACAGCTCCTGTTTCCACCCTGAGTGAGGAATGGGTGCGCTTCAGTCCATGAGCGCTTGTGTCCAGGGTTTCGTAAGGCGGACAAGGAATAGAGCAGGATTTAGTCAAAGCGAGATGGTGAAAGCCCGGAGTGAGTGCCCTAAAGGCAGGGTGAGGAGAGCATGAAAAGGTGCTTTGCTCTTTCAGAAAAGGAAGGGACTCTTCTGCAAAACTGGGACACGTGCTGAGAAAGGGAAGGAACTGGAGAGCAGTGCCAGGGAGTTTACTCTGCAGAGGAATTTGCAAGGATAAGGGATCTGTTTCCATTGACTAGAAGTAGGCACTTCTAGAAGTAGTATTTATCATATAACAATCTGGTATAAAACCAGATTTTCCATGCTAAGCCCTGGTCCAGCTGTCTAGTTTGAGAGTGCTTGAGTAACTCCAGAGATTTCTGATGGCCACCAAGGCATTCTTTTCCTTTCCCTGGCAAAGAGGGCAGGAAGAGAAGGTTCTGCTTAGCCCTTGCTAGTCAATGTCTGTGCCTTCCCCGCGTTTCCAGGTCTGCTTGTATTATTAAATCAGCTGATTGAAGAAGCCTGTAGGGATCATTAACTATATCTGGAACTATATATGGTAAGAGGAAGGGTTGAAAAAGTGAAGGGCTAAAAAGTGTCAAATATTCAAGCAGAAAAGGAGCGTAGGAGAGTGTCATGCCAGAGGGGTTACAAACATTTTGAAGAGCAGGGTTCAAATTCCAAAAATCTTGATTTATATGCTTTTTAGGTCATTTTTTCAGTAAGTCCTCTTAAGTTCAAAGTACAAAGGTAGGAATAATTGTCTGTGTGGTCCCAAAAGGAAAAATAGTTCCATAAAAACATCAGTAAACAATGTTACACAGTTGCAAAAAATAAACGGTGTATTAACATGACTGTTCTGTAAAACTCAAACAATCCCTTGGCTTTACGTGGCATTAGTAATGCTTTTCTGGAAGATGTCCAGTTTTGAGTACTGTACTTCAAAAAGAATGTGGACAACTGTGGAGATTCCTAAGGAGAACATATTGTCAGAGGCCTAAGAACATGCTTTATGAGGGAAGAATGAAAAAAGTGTCATTTTTGTCTAAAGTAAAATGGGGGAAGATGAGAGGCACTTTTCCAGTACACAAGAAATTGCTGCAGAGATGGAAGTAATAAATTGCTCTCTGTCCACTGGTGATGGGACGAGAAATTATGATTTGACCTTACGTACAAAAAACTTAGCTAAATAGTAGGATAAACTTTCTGGTATTAAGCACTCGTCTGGTGAGGCTGTGGGAGCATCAGTACTGCAGCTTGTGGAGAACAGGCTAAGCAAGTGTGTCAGGTTAAATACAGTGTGTCCTCAGGAGGCTGCTTTCAGCCCTGTTTCCTCCTCTCCTAAGTTGATGTGACCATGAGCTCCCACCCACTCCAGGGTAACTCAGAGGAAGGTTGTGAGGCACGTGGGTGGATGAATTTGGGGACTGGGTGAATGCAGCAGTGGGCACGCTTCTGCCCACTTTCATTGCCAGCTTGTGTGTTGACAACTAGACTTGCTGGAAAAAGTCTTGCAATTGTTCAGAGGCTTTCTTTGGATCCCTGTAGCTGATGGTATCAACTTCCAAATTCAATGGTCTGGAATATAACGCTTTTCTTTACACCATGTAAATCTTATGTCTCTGAGTGGTGCCAGGGACTCATCTGATTCCAGATCTTTCTCCATCCCTGGCCCCAGTTCTAGTACCAAGTTCATATCCAGCAGCAACCTTTGACCTGATGCCATCCATCTGCTTGGTGCCGAGTGAGCTTTTAGCTTTGGCAGTCACTTACTCCATCTGGGCTTTAGCACTTGCATGAGTTTCCTTGGTAAAAGTCCCACAGTGTCACAGGTGCTCCTCAGAGGCTGTGGAAGTTTGTCTTTGTAGGTTATTGTGTCTCCCTATTCTTACTTTCTCAAGGTGGGAAACCAACCTCTTTGTATTTTTATGTCCTTTTACAAAGAACATGCTCTTTAGGAATGATTGTCTTAGAATCTTAGAATGGTTACAGTTGGAAGGGACTTAAAGATCATCTGGTTCCCTGCCATGGGCAGGGACACCTCCCACTAGAGCAGGTTGCTCAAAGCCCCATCCAGCCTGGCCTTGAACACCTCCAGGGATGGGGCATCCACAGCTTCTCTGGGCAACACATTCCAGTGCCTCACCACCCTCACAGTAAAGAATTTCTTCCTGATATCTAACCTAAGTCTCCCCTCTTTCAGTTTAAAACCGTTACCGCTCATCCTATCACTACACTCCCTGATAAGGAATCCCTCCCCATCTCTCCTGTAGCCCTGTTTAGGTACTGTAAGGCTGTTACAAGGTCTCCCTGGAGCTTTCTCTTCTCCAGGCTGAACAACCCCAACTTTTTCAGCCTGTCTTCATAGGAGAGGTGCTCCAGCCCTCTGAGCATCTTCATGGCCCTCCTCTAAACCCATTCCAACAGGTCCATGTCCTTATGTTGAGGTCTCCAGAGCTGGATGCAGAACTCCAGGTGGGTTATCATCAGAGTAGAGTAGAGGGCAAAATCAGCTCCCTCAACTCAGTCAAGGCATTCTTGCTCCCTGTTTCATCCAGGGTGACAGTAACTTTAGCAGTTCACAGGATTTTTAGCTTTTGGTACTAACCCCACCCCATCAACAGCACTAGAGCTTTGCTGAGCCATATCTGAACAGTGGCTCCTCTGAGCCATGCCTTCTGGAGACTATCCACGCAGGTAGTATGGCTCTGTCTTTCATGTTAACTTATGCCTTCCCTCAGATGTCTGTCTTGAGGATGGAGAGGCATCTCTAACCCCTTTTCTCCTGTGTAAGTTTCCTGCTGGATGTTGCCTCTACCTTCTGGGTTGATCCAGCATCCAAGTATTCTTTTAATCACCAGGAACTCTTTAGATGACCTTTCTCCTCATGTGCCTCTGGAGAGAGTCAGCCTATCTAATTAACAGATTCCCTTGAATAAGATGGACAGTGATACCACTGTCCTGTCTCTGACTTTTTTGGGTTTCCTACCTCCAGGAATAACTTACTTCTCACTGGTCAGCTAACAGCTCCTTCTCCAGTACTGGGAGAGTGGCCCATAACGTGCTGTGGCCTCACCCTGTAGGGCTGCTTCAAAGCCTGGAGTTCCAGGGTTAAATACTCACTGCCCCTTCAGCGGTGTGTGTAACGTGAGGCGAGTAACTTGCCTTTAAAAGGGAAATAACTGAGCGAGCTTGTATGATGTCAGTCTGCTGAAACTTCAGTATTTTCTGAAGCTGAGGAGCTGCCCAAGCGCAGGGCTCCTTCCCCCACCGGGCACCTGACCCAGGGCTGCTGTGTTCAAAGTTGCAGGTCTGGTCCCAGGAGTAGCACTATTCACTGCCGAGTCCTTCCCTGTTCTCAAGGCACTTCTTCAAAACCTTCCTTCTTTCCTAGAAGCAATTTTTGTTGACTCTTTGCCACTAGAATTGAGTGGGAAGAGCTTTGTTTTACAGTGTCCCTCTAAACACCGTCCCTCTGTGAAGCCTTGATTCTTAAGCAGTATCTTAAAAAAACAAACAAAGATCCAGGTTGTATCTGGAAAAGATTACATTCCTTCATGTCAAATAGAAAGTTCATCCAACTTTTATAAAACACATTAGATGAGATGCTGTCCTACAGATTTTTATTGGTTTCAGCTTGCATTTAGCTCAAGCTGTTCACAGCCTTTTTGAGGTGTACCACAGTCCTAATAATTCCAGTGAGAGACTTTTAAAGCATGCTCCTCTTGGTGGGTTTTATGATAAGAAAACAGAGCTCTCTAACTTCTCCAGTCTCCAGAAAGAGAAGTGAATAAACAGTACTTGACTGCGTTAAGTTCTGCAATGGTGTTCTCTGCCCTTAAATACCACAAGTGGTAAAAAAGCCCGTTTTCCTTGGTGTTAAATTGAAAAGGTGGCCACGGAGCATCTTCTCCTGAGCTCATGCTGTTGTCTTAATGACAACAAAAGCAAAGTCATCCTCAAAATCCACTTGCATTCCCTCAGCCTTCAGAGTACAGGCAGTGAGTACAGTTAAAACCAAATGGTCAACAAAAGGTCTCCAACTAAACCTTGTTGCTTGATTAGCACCTCATACACAAAGCTATTTAAATATCTTAAGCTTGATTTGAACCTGCTACTGGCGATAGACTGAATAACCTTAAAATAGTTTGAAGATCTTCATCCCGAGGGAGTGGAACTTGACACTCACTTTCCTGTGGCAGTTTGATATTTTCTGCATTCCCTTCACAGGCAAATCTCGAAAAGAAGCATAAGGAACAAAACATTTTTCTAAGTTCACATAGCAAATGCAAAATGAGAAACAGAGCTCAGACAACAACTGAGCTTTAAAACAGCTCATGTTAATTTGTTTCTGGGTTCCTTCAAACCTCTTCTCTAACTTTTTAGCAAGACTTTTTTAGATAGATTTTGTTTTCATTTCTGATCTATATTATCTGACACAATACTACTGCAAACCGATGAGTCAGGAAAGCTTTCTGAGGAATCAAAGGTTCAGATTTTAACAGATGTCATGTACAATGTTTGTCCAACTTTGTGTTCATCATAGATATAAGTCCATAATTAGGTGGGGAGCTGAACTGTGGATTCTGCCTCACAGCAGGAGTCGTACTGAGACTGGGTGTGATGGAGATTTGCTGCTGACTGGAGCGATGGGGAGTGGAGAAATTGTTCTAGGACATCCACGTGTAGGTCCTTAAAGGCATGTTGTAGACCAACAATGAAGGGCACTGAAATACCTCTTTATGCACTGGGAGAGCTCCATCAGTGTTGGACGGACAATCTGACAATCCCATACTTCAAACAGCACCTCAGTCTGCTGCTGAATTGATGTGGCTTTGGCCCGTAACCGTAAATTAATCTCGCTTCGAGGTACCGAAGTGCTGAAATGCTATTGAAAAGCTCTGGCACGTAGGCTTGAGTTGTGGAAAGTGATGCAGTGATGTCAGTTGGAGTTTCTCCACGGGTTTTGACGTGGCCAAAATTTAACTTCAGCTGTGCTCCAGGACAGAGCAGAGCATGTTTGCAGAGTTTCTTCAGAATCTGCTTCCCTGCCATCGCTCCTGCTATTCCAGGCTCAAATTAGTTCTAAACTTAGAACTCACTCAGTCACACAAACGCTAAAGTAATAATAAAAGATATTTTGTAACGATAAACTGAAGTGGAGGCTGATCTTGTGATAAAGGCACTGATTCGAGACCTAAAAGATCCCAGTTTAATTCCCAATTTGGTCATAAATCGTCTGTACAAATTTGGAAGGTCACTTATTCTCTCCTGGCGTCAGTTTCTTAATCGTAAAAGGAGGGTAAGTTGAACTTTCTCCTTTGTTTGTTGTACAGTGAGCTTTTCAGAGCAGGACCACAATTGCTACATTGATGTGAAACATGTAAGAAGACAAGACATCTCTGGGTGGGTTTTTTTTTTTTTTTAACCCATTCTGATAAGAAAGCAGTAATAGCAGCAATGGGTCTGGTCGTCTAGAAAATTGGTCGTACTCCTGTCTCTCTTCCATGTCTACAGTAAAGATGAAAATTTTCAAATTACTTAGCCAGATTAATGTCTAATGTAGACTTATTTCCTAGCCCATAATAAAAGCTCTGGTACTACATAATAAAAACCATAACTTTATTGTGATATCATATTATGGGGAAAAAAATGCAAAAAAAAACCTGTACCATGAATGAAAAAAAATACCATATAAATTCTACCAAATAAAAGCCTTGCAATTATTTCCAGGGAGCCTGAAAAAAGAAGGCAATGTGAAGATGATGTATTTGCTGTGTGTCAAATCAAACTAAACACAACTCTTCTTTTCCAGGTCACATGAATCAAAAGAATGAAACAGACAAATGGATTAAGGCTGACACACAAAATGGCAAAGTGTATCTTAAAAGCCAAAGCTGGATCCAGTCTGTCAAGCTGAAGAGTTCTTAAAGGTGAAATCACCTGAAGAGATTAAATCAAGAAATTGTAAGGGAACATTCTGTAAAACTATGAAACTTTTTTGATGCATATTTTTAATATAAGAAAGAAACAATATTAAAAATGAGGGTGTTTTAACCCAAGATTTGCCCGTGACAGTGGCTGATGCTTCACGGGTCTGGTTTACTTTCAGTGCCTTTTAGGAATGACGAGTTCTTACATGTTCAGAATTAGTATAACTTGACCCACTCACCACGTCAGTTTAAAAGCCAGTAACTTTCAAACAAAAGTTTGGAGCCATCATTGAAAAAAGTGTTTTCAACATCTGGTATTTGAGAATACAAACATTTACTTCTAAGATGACACACTCTGTGAGAAATTTTATATTTTTTAATTGAATGTCTCAGTACTGTGGGAATTCTGCTAATTTATGCAAAGTGTAGCCAGTTTTCTTCAACCAATTTATTTGCACCGCAGAAAGGATAAAACCACTTCCAGAACTGTAGTTCTTATTTGGTCTTCTCCTTTGATGCATGTCCTGTGAGCAGATGCTGTTTTATCCGTGGGTACAGTATGTTTTAAATTACTTATATGAAATGACAGAACTTGCTCCGTGTCATCCTGACACTTCTGTGTGGATAGAAATAAGAGCTCTAGCTGTGTCTACCACTCTGTGTCATCAAAGAAAAGCTTTTAAAATAAATAATCAAAAGTGCAACGGATTTGGCTGATTTCAAGGAGGAAAGCTCCACTAACTGGACTTCAGGTAAGAGTCCACATGAGCACTCCCCTAAAGTAAAAACTGCCAACGAATGGAAGTATTTGCCTAATAAATGAGAACTAGAATCTTTTTATTTGATATATTTCCCCTGTCAGCCTCGCATGAGGGGACTGCAAGCTCTTTGAGGCAGAAGGGCAGAAGAGAGAGATGAGAGAAGCATCTGTGCCCTGCACATGGATTTACATGATTTTTGTGGAGGATTTTGTGTTACCGTAATACAAACACACACAGGAAAGTACATGGAGCTTTTAAAAGCCTTTCCCTACATATATATGGCACCGTATAAAAGAAGTGCTGAAATTTGTGTTTTAAAACTAAAACATTGGACTTTGTGCCAACTGAGTGGATGGAGAGTAGCAATGAGGAATTCAGAGTGTCAGCTCAGGTTTTAAGTTGTGTGTGTGTGTGTGTGTACTTTAGATCATAATGGTACATTATGAAATGAACGTCTCCTTTCTCACGGCCTTGCCCAAGAGGTATAATTGCCCTGGCTAATGAACTTCAGTAGTCATGGGCAGCAATTTTGCTGTAATTCAGGGTAGTTAAAACGCCACGTTCTGGTTCCTGTTGTGTGTACTGTGCGTTGGGTTGAGGTGGGTGCTGATGTGTATGGCAAATTGTATGGTTTTTTAATATAAACACTAATAGATAAAACATTGCTAATATTATTACTAAAAGAAATGTTATTACTAGTTATTAGTAATTTTTATTATGCTTTTAAAAGATACAAAATTAATAGATACAAAATTAATAAATGTGCAATGGTTAGATTTCTTGAAAAATCTTAAAAATGAATGATTTTTGTGCCGTGCTGCAGGTGAAGGGAAAGAAGCACCTCTAAATTCATCCTGCACTGAAAATAAAAAGAACGTAGTAGATGCTTCACTAAATTGAGTCCATTTAAGGGTTCCATTATTCAGCTGGACTGCAAAGCCTGCCAGCCTCTGGGGTTAAGGTTGTGCTTTTTGGGACTGGAAGGGAGAGCACAGCAAGAAAACGTGTTATTTCTTCCATGTTCGCAAGCTCAGGCATTCACAGTCTGAACCTAACTGGAATTAAACATCAGGATTGGTAGTTATTTGCTTAAAGAAGATTAAATAAGCCATCAGAAAAACTGTGCTACCACTAAAGCTATTCAGATTATATTCTTTCCAAGCTAATAAATGTTGAGACCAGCTAGAACTTTAACATAAAGGTCAAGAATGAGCTGAAGAAAGACAAATCTTTACTCAAATGTCCTCAGGGAAACTCCCAATGTCTTGTTCTGCTATAATGACGTGAAACTTTATATTTTCCTCTAGACAAGGAAAGATTAGTGGGTTATCAGTAATTATGATTCGAATGGCAAATCCCATATGTGCTTATTTTTTTTTTGTCCATTTGATGAGAAGACATGTTCTTGTAACTGGAGAAAATTTATCCATTTATCCTTTAACACGTTTCTCATCCGTGCTCCTTTATATTTGATTCTCCTGACGCTGCTCAGCACACGGAAACATCAGCTCCCTGAGAGGCCTGACCTCAGCCTGAGAGGGTTTTATGAGCATTAGGGCTCTGGATGCACAAGTGACTGTTGGAAGCAGAGCCCTCTGTGCCTTACTGTGCGTGTGCAGTTGTGTATTAGGGAGTCAGCAGTCACTACCTATTCACTGCTCTTCATTGCCCAAGAACACTGTACTTGATGAGAAGCAGCCGCGTCAAGTGTGAAGTTCTGTGGGGAGTCAGAGTGTTTATGTCCTGGAGAGGACCTTCATGGCAGACAAGAACCCCAAACACACGCAGATTCATTTATTGCTTACTCTGCGTGGGACTACAAAAACTTCCCATGGCTGGAAGATGAAGACAGCTTGAATCAGCAGCTGGAGGTTCGCAGTGTTGTTTCAGTGCCGCTGTCTTGCTTGAAGGCACACGCTCCCGCCAGGAGGATCTGCAATGAGTCCGTACTAATCCAACAAACCACCTTTTATTAAAGCATGATTAGTTTTAAGGAAAAAAAATATATAGTATACCTTTCATGGTCTAGTGAAAAACCCTTGAACTGGGGAAGATGTTGTGCAATTTCTTCATCTTTCATTTTAAAGAATTTATTTATTCAGGCTCTGATGTGTGTTTTTTGGTGAGGGTGACTGTGTTACCATCCCAGTCACATCCAAGCCAGGAGGGAGAGTCAGCATCATTATGTTCTTGTTTCTCCAATTTGGCTGCATATTTCAAGACAGCTTGTCTGCAACAAGAGTGAAAATAAAATAAAATTACAAGAGTAAAAAAAAAATTTGCAGAGGCTGTTTCTAAAAAGAACATTAGAAGCTAAGTTTAATGAGCAAGAGCTCCTTCTTTCAACTGAAGCTTTCAACGTTATAAGCGATGTCGTGGAAACTAGAAAATAAGATAATTCATTAGGTTACAGACTCATAGAATAAATTAGGTTGGAAGGGGCCTCAGGAGATCATTTTATCCTGGTCCTGCTCTAAATGGATCCAACTGGACCAGGTGTGTCTTGGCTTTGCCAGCTGAGCTCTGAATCTCTCTAGGGATGAAGCCTGCACAGCCTCTCTGAGATCCTGCTAATGTGTTCAGCCTCCCAATTAAAAAATAGTTTCCTTGCATGTAATCAGAACTTTACATTTGCCACTTGTCCTACCAGTGCACCTCAGAGCACAGTCTGCCCGTGTCTTCTATTCTGCATCCTCTGCTCAGTTGCAGACAGCTGTAAGGTCTCCTCCAGCCCAAGCCTCCTCTTCTTGTGACTGAGCAACCCAGTTCTCAGCCTCTCGTTGCGCCTCACGTGCTCCAGCCCTTTAATGGCCTTGGTGGCCCTCACTGGCGCTTGCTGGAGTGTGTCAGAGCCTCTCTGGGCTGGGGAGCCTAAAACACAGCTCTTCAGGACAGAGTGGGCGATGCCATTGGAGTAACAGCATTGTGTTGTGAAGGAAACATAACACCAAACAAGATAATTAAACCACTTACAGCAAAAGATACCCCAGCGTCTCCAGAGCGGTTTGGTTTTTTTTTTTCACAGCTATATAGGAGGCTGTAGTAACTGTGCAGGTCCCTATCTCTGATTTTTTTTGTTTGAACAGTCTCTGGGGCACCTCCAAGTGTCTTTACCCTGTCCTGGTACACCTTCTGCTTGCTCTGTGGCTGACTGCCCCACTTGTAGTGATCTTCTCTCACACGCCTCTTTACAAAAGTTCCTGAAACTGAGTGGAAGCCGCATGGGGCAGCGTTGCAGAGCCCCACTGGTGCCTGCGCCCACCCCGAGCTCACCCCAAGGCTGTGTTTCACAGCTTCTGTGACAGCTGAACCAGAAGAGAACACCATACAGTGTCCAAAAACAGCCATGGCCCTTCTGAGCTCCCTTGGCATTTTGAAACGCAGAACCCCTTTGCAGCGTTGAAACGCAGAACCACTGAACTAGAGCAAAATGCTACAGAAATAGGAGGAAATCAGGCTTGCTGAGTGAGACACCCCGTAAAGAAGTTGGAGAGCAACTCTCTCCTCTCCCCTCCTTCGCAGGCAGCATCAGCCCAGCAGCTCTCATTGCCTTCCCGAGCTGAAGGAACTCAACCCGCCACTTCCAGCCTTTTGAACGTCTCTTTCTTTCCATCAGTTCTGCGCCTTGGCTGCCGGCCCCTCCGGCTGCGCCGAGCCCCCGCCTCCCCCACCCCAGCTCCTCCACTCCAGAGAGTTCCCCGGGGCTGAGCCTGCTCATGTGCTCCTGGGGAAGAGCCAGCTCCACATCTCCTCCATCCCCTGCAGGAGATTTAACCTGAGCTGCTGCCGCGGCGAGGTAGCCTTTCTCCCCGGGGGACAACTTCAAAGCTCCGTAACAATATAAGATATGGCATCTAGACAATACTAAAAAAGAAATAGCCAAATTAAAGCAGACTGTTATCTGCCAGTAATGCTACTATGGGTTTTTTTTCCCAAAGTGAAAACGCTGAAGACGGTTACAGAAGAGGCAGAGCTGTAACACTTGCACCACCACAGCAGGAGAGGGGACACAAGAGGGGGACAAAATGGGTGAAGCTGGGAGGGGTCCTCTACAACCGCTGTGGGACGTTTTTTTAAACCCTCTGAACACTGACACCCTGTCCCAACCACATGAACACAAGGCTGTATCTGTTTTTATATTAGGGAGGCCTGTGCCATTGAGGAATGTGTGCACAATTTATATGAGCTATAAGCTCTACGCTATAAAATAAAAATCAACTCATCCAAGTCCAAATTCCTGTTTTTCATGGAAAGTGCAATGTATGGCTGCTGTCTGAAGCGTGTATAAGGGGAGCTGTTACTATTTTTTTTTTTGAAACTCAGGCTGTCCCATGCCTGGAGCTACAGTTGATTAATTTGCCAGAAACAGCCATTCATTAATCACCAACACATGGCAAAATAAGTCATTTATTTAAGATATGCTGCACTATTATAGACCCTGCTTATTTATTTACATAGTGTCTTACACAAGCACATTGATGAATAAAAGCATTTCAGCAAATAATTACATCTTTGGGAAAGCAAATATCTCTTGGTGTAAGTCAGACAAAAGTACTGGCCCAAACACGTGGTTTGAGCAGCACTGGAATATCTAATTGAATCCTTACCCAAAGTTTCAATCCCTTCTACTGAGAGGGGGTAGTGGGAAATACAGTTCTGCATCACAGGCTGAATCCAGAGCCATTCCAGAAGTCAGGAATGTTTGACTGGGTGCATCATAATAAAAAGCAGAGCTTTTGGAAAAGACTTTTTGAGATGAGGTTACAAAAAATAAGAGTAAAAAGCAAGGTTACAAAAAACCAATTGAGTAAAAAGCAATGGAAAAGACAAATTTAAACATGGGAGAACTGTTTATAGTGCAAATACAGGAGAAATTAAGCAGAAGAGGGAAGTGGAGGCAGGCAGCTAATGGGAAAAGCAGAGAGAATCCTGCAAGCGTGCTCCAGGTTAGAAAAAGTGATAAGACTCCATAAAATCTGAAATACTCTGAGGTCTGTGTCAGCAGCAGTATCTTTTTATGGCATCCAGTTCAAGAGCACAGGATGGCTGAAACATGGCACTGCAGGAGCCGCCGACACTTCTGAAGAGCGATTTACAGTCAGGGAGAAGACAGAACTATAGTATTTTTGTTGCTTCTTCAAGAGGAAACTTAAGAGTAATTATTATTAGTCCTTTACCGAATCATGTGTAGGCTGTGTTCATTTCCCATTACATGTGTGTTGACTCCCAAATCCTTCCTGCCTTAAGATGTGACTATTTGGATAATACCTAAGAAATCTTGCTTTTTCAAGAAAACAGAGTTCTTGCAATCTCCTTTCTAACCAACAGCAGCCATCAGAAAAGACAACAACAAAAAAACAAAACAAAAATCAGAACATTCTCCAAATGTCAAATGTGTTGTAGCTATTAAGACCTAATGTCATTTCCATTTAAAACGCAAAAATTGTAATAGTATTTGTTGATGAGTCACTCGTTAACAGAGTAGTGATGAGTTTAAAAGAATTGTAACTGGGTTTGTATTAGTGCAGACAAAAAAGAAGGAAGCATTTAATTTTGCTCTCAAAGAACTGCTTTTGGTGGAACCAAGCTGCTCCAGCCAAGCTGCAGTTTGGTGAGAGCAGGGGGCCAGCCGGCGAGGGCTTCTTAAGGCCATGGCAGGTTCCTTCCCTCATTTTGCCCCCAGAAACAGAGAGCCACACCTTCCTCAGCGCTGCAGCTGCCTTTAAAGGGTATTTGTGCTTTGAAGTTTAAGGAGAATGTTTCACAGGGAAGAGAAGTGCATCTCTGAAGATGCCAG